TCATGGTGACAAGGGCGGGCTTGATCTCGAAATTGTTGGCGTCCACGGGTGGATGTAGAATGGTAGGTTGGATATCCGCCTCCCGTGGGGCCATGTAGTAGCCCATGTTCCCCGGTTCTTGCTCAACTCTCGCTTGCTAATTTGAATTAGCCGCTATCTCGGGTTTACTCCCTTCTTCCTCGGTTTCAAAATAGTCCTCTACTTCAACTTCAACTTCCACTTCGGGATCAACTTGTGGTTGTCCCCTCTCCTCTATCCTTCGTCTTGCTTCCGCCAGTTCCCTCTCACGAGCCAAGAGTCGGAGAGTGCGGTTGAGATTCTCGTTAAGTCGCACTGTAACACCCTAACCCGCCCGGGTACTACTTTTACTAAAATGCCCTTGATAAATAAAATACTCAACCCTTAAATTGCAACTGGGAAAAATTTTAATGAATAAAATACTGAAAAACACACACTTGTAGTTCAAGGCAAAGCCCTAACACGTGGGCAAATTAAACTCAACTTTAAAATCTCAATCTGATCTCAAAATAATCTCCAGTCTGTACTCATAATCATAAAATGTCAATAACTAATAATCTCTGAAGTTGTTGCTACTAAAAACCTTGACTAAGCATCCTCTGTGACGCTTATACTGCTCTCCTCTAGCTGGCTGCCCTCGAACTCGTTGTTCACTAACTGCTCTTCTAGCTCCTCAAACTGGTGAGTGAGATGGGGTCAGTCTACGCCCTTACGTTTTAAACTTTCTAATAATTTTGCACTTCTTCTCAAACACTTAAACTCAAACTGAGGGAAGTTGTTTGTACTTCCATTTATTAAAATCTCAACTCTTAAAACTGTATGGGAGTAACTGTTACTCTCCATTCTTAAAGCTTAAATCTCAACTTAAATACTTGACTGACACTGGGATCCCCCACTAGCTAGTCCGGTTGCCAACTCATACGTATGAGAAGCCATCCAGACTTTTCTTAAACTTAAACTTAGTTAGGGAAGTCGTGACGATTCATCCCCCTAACATCTTAAACTTATCGTGGTGGCTCTTCACTACGATTCTCAAGAGCATAACTGCTGCTCATCTTAAAAGTCTCAAGAGCATAACTGCTGCTCTATCTCAAAGATCTCAAGAGTATAACTGCTGCTCTATCTGAAAATCTCAAATGGCAACGGACTGGCGCTAGTAACTAAAAACACTTAAAACGACTTCACCTTCTTGAAGGTGAGTTACTTCTTAAAAAGGACTTGCTTCTTACCTTCAACAATAACTTATAAACTCAAAGCTTAAATTTAAATAAAACTCATGCACAGTCACATCAAGCATGGCTCAAACAAAATCACATATCATCAATCATAAGCACAATCAAACAACGGCATTCACTTCATCAAATACTCAAAACTTGTAACTCTTGAAAGAACACTTAAGGTGTAGAATTTACCCCCTTTACACTCACCTCAAATCCGTCGAAAACGACTCTGAATCCGCTCTAAAAAAATTCCATGAATCGTTTCCACTGGAAACCTCTTCGTTCCCACGACTCCATAGGCATCGACGGTTCCTCGATCGGACGTCAATTGATCGAGTTATGTCCAAATAAACATTCTGTCAGTTTAAAAGTACCAGGTACCGAAACTGAAATTTTCCAGTCAACATAGTTGACCACGGTCTATCTGGAAAATTACGAATTTAATCCTCAAACTTATCGAATTGACAAGGATAGTACATGAACTATCTGATTTGTATCCCAAACTTTCGAGGCTCGTATCTCCCTCGTCCAACGTAGAAATTCGATTCCGTCAAAACCGTGGTGTTCCTGAGATCGTCCACTACGCGGTGATACCCACCACTCAAAGAATGGTCGAAGTCGGCTACGCCGGGATCGTCATCAGGACTATGATCGTCGGGAGAAGATGCAAATGTCCATGATGGCTACGATGGCGAGGCGAGGCTGCTGCGGTTGTGTTCGTCCAGCGGGAGGGTAGGCGATCAGTGCGCTGCTGTTGCCTCTCCTCCGCCGCTAACTGCTACTTCCGTCCGCAGCTTGCTGCTGCTCGCTGATCTGGCCGCGCGAAGGAGAGAGGAGGCGGTTGCTGATGCCTGGCGGTTACTTGAGGACGACGACGACACGTAGATTGCGTTGATGAGAAGTTGGCGGCGGCGGGTCTTGTGCAAATAAGTGGGCGAGAAGAGGGACTGAGGGAGGACGACTTTTTGGGTTCCTCGAAGCCAATTCTTCTCGGAAAGGGTTTGGGGAAAAGGGATAATTTTGTGCAATTAGTGAATTGGGACGGATTCATGCGTCAGGGGGAGGTGATGGACAATTACAATGAGGGCCGAGCGCCCTCGGCCCGTTTCCCTTTTTTTAATAATAATAATAATAGTTATTATTATTATTCCTAATCTGCGGTTGCAATCCTTAGTACGTAACCGTTAATCCAACCGTTCACATATTTGGGTTGAACCTGAACCCAAAATTCGGGGTGTTACATTTCCTCCATCCTTATAAAAATTTCGTCCCCAAAATTTGCTTGAAACTCATTGCTCATTCTACACCATCTTTGTACTCCCTTGCCTCAAGAATTTACTCTAGCTAAATGTACTTTGATGATGTCTGTTGCTTGTACGATGTCCATTGCTTGTCCCGTATGATTTACCTCACTTCTTATATTTCCTCTTGACCATAGAAGGGATTCTCACCAAGCTCGTTAGCATCAGCCAGCTTTGGGTGGCTACTTATCCTTTTTAATTCCCCACTTGGGCATAAGGCGTGACGGGACAGCACATCGAATCTATTTATTGGTCCAGCCCATTCCGTACTTGTTTTTGAACCTTAGATCGAATTCGAGGTGTCACATTTCCTCCCTCCTTAAGAAAAATTTCGACCTCGAAATTTGTTCATTGCTGATAACCTAAAGTCTCACTTGAGGTAATCCTTCTGCTGCAAGGACTTATACTTCCTTTACCTTATACAACCTGGAGCTATAAACCCTTTCCTCCAATTCGTGTGCTTCTTGGCCAACTAATTACTCGCCCACTTTTCATAAATCTCTTGCTCAAACTAGTTACTTGCTCAATGAGTCTATGGCACTATGGCACTCTCCCTTCTTTAATGCCTCTGATGGTGTAATGCCATTCGTAGTTGTTGTTGTTCTCAACGATTTGTTTATTATTATTATTATTCCTAATCCGCGGTTACAATCCTTAGTACGTAACCGTTAATCCAACCGTTCACGTATTTGGGTCGAACTTGAACCCAAAATTCGGGGTGTTACACGCACCAAAGGTGTCGAATTACTCTGGGCCATACATTGTCCCGCACACACTCAAAAGAACCACAACTCGTCTAGCACAAGCAAGATTCACACACACACAAAAACATAAAGTAAAGTTAGATTAACACCAAACAATCTTTTCAAAATATCGGACCGTTTGTTCCCCGGCAATGGCGCCAAAAACTTGATTCAACTCCCAAACCACAATAAAACTCCCAATTAAAGCACAAGTATAAACCACAATTGAGTGCAATATAGGGAAAGTATGTTTAAATATCAACCCGGGTCGGTCCATGTACCCCTACTTCGACTGTTTGAAACTTTATCTAGCAATTGGTTGTTGGTTGAAAACTACGATCTACAATTAAAATGCAAGTAAAAGTAATCGGTTTTGACTCCAAATGGGAAGGATTCACCCCGGGTGTAGCTCCCCCTAACTATCTACAATAACTTGTCGGAATGAATGTAAACATGTGGTGGAGGTGATTGTGAACCGCAAGGGAAGTGTAGTAAGTGATAAAACAACAATCTCTCAGTCTTTAGGCCAAGGAAATCGGATTAAGCTACCAAGATAGCTCTCTTGGCCTAATTGACTAAGGACTACCAAACCTTCACTTTCGAATCGAAATTTGGTCGGCCAAACACAATCAACCTAGGTGCTAACATGAATAAAGAGTTTTGCCCTACATTAACCTAGATAGGAGACAATATTTGCCTAAGAAAACCCAGCTTTAAAAGCCTCTTTAAACAAAGGGGATTTTCTCTCTACCTAGGTAATTAGAATAGCAATTAGATTGATAGGCAAACACACAACACAATCTTCCATGAAAATACCTCTAAACTCATATTAAAGCACGCCCACATATAAACAATCATGCCATACAATCAATCAATCAATCATATATAAACAATCATGCCATACAATCAATCAATCCTTGCCTTTGAGTGAAACCCTAGCCTCTTCTCTCCTCTTGCTCATTAGTTTCTCTCTCTAAAATGTTGAAGAAGAAGAAGAAGAAGGTTTTCTCACTCAAGGTCTCCCCCTCTTCTCCTTTAACTCAAAGCCCTTTTTATACCCAAATCGAGCTCAGTTCACGGTCTTAGCTCACATCCGTGAACATTAAGCGTGGACCATGAACTCGAGTCAAAATGCCTCGCTTCACTAAATCAGTTCATGGTCTCCGGCTTCAGTTCAAGTCTTACGACCGTGAATTGCCTTTAATCTAGTGAGACTAAAATTGGTTCTTGACGCATGAATGTTCACGGTTTGAGCTTCCAGTGCACGGTCTCCCTGACCATGAACTTCACTGCTTGCACCATGATCTGATGCTGCCGCCATGCTTTGACCCAATTTTTTGCCTTTTCGTCCAACTTTCGACTTCGGGACTGGTTCCACCTGCCATAGCCTGAAACAAACTAAAATGAGTCAAAACCCAGCGTTAAACCAAACCAACCGGAGTCCGAATGCCTCAAACGACTAAGCTAAATAGGGGTAAAAAGTGTACAATTAAGCCCGAATCACTAACAACAGTGGATGATGTGGCATATTTTATTCAAAAATAATGTTAGGTGGAAAATAATCAAAATTTATCCTTTATTTTAATCAAATTAAATAAATAATAATAAAAACAATAATCACTTCTCGACTTTCTGGGTTCGACTAATTGAAAAAGATCTGCAACATCACCCACTCAACCTAATTCTTTTAATCTTCATCTTTCCTCCCAAGAGCTCCTATGTCCCAATACCAGAAAATACCCATTATTTTCATCAACATCTTTCCTCCCAGGAGCATCTATGTCCCAATCCTTACTCTCGCTAGCAAGTTCTCTTTCTCCTACCGCGGAGGATTCCTACTGTTGCTTGCCTATAGCGAAACCTGGCGACGATGGCAGAAACCTCAGCGAGACTGGGCGACAATGGCGAAGAGATTTTCAGAACCATCGGATCTGGAGTTGCTGCCTTTCCCCGTAGCAGCTGCCGTTGCTGCCTCATCCTCCTCTCTCTCTGTGTTCACCGTCAGAGTGCCTACTAAAGCTCTGGCGGATTATTTGCAGTCGATTAACAGTGATGGCGATGGGACGAGTGGTGGTGGGTTGTTGGGGGGAGAAGAAGAGGGGTCTTGGAAGCAGATTAATGGTGATTATTGATGGGAGGAGGGGCAGTGGGTTGCTGGAGGAGAAGAAGAGGGTTCGAGGAGATTAGGGGTATGTTTTTTTTTTTACTTTTGTAAATGGCTTGTCGTCCACCTGTCAATGAATGTTGAGGTGGAAACGAAAGTAAGGGTGTGTTGGGAGCCAGGTCAGCATTTCGTTAATTTAACTAACGGTGGCACTGACACCGTTAAATTATGTAACGAAAATGACTATTATTGTCATCAAACTTTCAAAATTCTGACTATTATTGGTATTTCCCCAAAAGTGGCTATATTGTCACAAACGTCAAAGTTTTGACTACACAGATGAATTTTGCCAAGAAAATACTAAAAGATGTATATTCAGCCATTATGACAATTGAATAATGTTAATGATAGAAGAAACTAATATGATCAATGAGTCATATAATGCTTGTTGGTCAGAGAAAAGTTGCATTTGGTCATCCATTAGGCTTTGTTATACCCTTTTATTCCTTTGTTCAAGCTAGTGATGGCATGACATTGTCAGCTATTTCAATACCTATATTTGCCTAGCATTAAGTATGGGTTAGGTTGCATAATATCCGTGCGGTTATGGGCCGGACAGATCGACCTATTCATATACATTATTGTAGGAATATGTTTATTTTTTAATGATAAAATAAAGGAAATGTAGTTAATAAATAAAAGAATACATATAATGGATAGATTAATTGTGTCAAATTAGTTAAAAATTAAAGTCTTGCACTTATTTAAATTATTACGGAGTGAAAACAGAAGTTAAAATAAGTAAAAATATAAGAAATATAAATAGATATTAAGACAAATCGAGATAAAACGGGACGGAAAGAGGCGATACAATACGGAAATGATACTCATGCTTCACCTCATACTATTGTGGATCTGGTATTACTCACCTCTCGCAAATAAAGTCGGTTAATATCTGATGAGGTGGTTTCAAATTACCATCACTAGTTCAAAGGTTAGTAGCTAATTCAAATAAGGTCAACACTAGTTTTAAAAATAAGGTCAACTCTGAACATTTGATTTGAAAACGTTGAGTTGTCCGACATTAATTGGACCCTGTTTTTCCCTCTATCAATATCTCTAACATTAGAGTTGGAAAGCATAGGACGCAAGCCGGTTCAACAGCGAAGAACTGCTGGTTGTGTTAACTTTGCCTCAATAGGAAAATGGAAAGATTGTTCTTTTTGAACAACAGAAAGCAGATCACGTTACAGGAATTGCAATTGAAAGTATACAGCAAACACAATCGCCCTTGCATCTGCCTAAAATTTTACAATATAACCTGAATTGTTCTCACAGTGGTCTTCCTCAAAATCTACCGCAGAGGTTTGGGTGATAACGCATAGCAAGTTTGCTTAACTGTTTCTGAATGAAAGAATGAATGCCTACAAAAAAGGTAAATCTTCGAGAACTGTATGTAATGTGGCTATCTGTCACCAAACAATGGCTTTCCTTTGAAACAACCACCAAGTCATCCTGCGAAGTTGTTAGCCTGTGAACTTCTGTACGTTGTGAAAGTAGTATCAACAAAAAATGGAGCGTATGAATCCTCTAATCCTGCTATAGACAGCCTCAAGAATGCTCATCATCTGTAGAGAATCAAAGTAATTCAACATCACTACCCCTTAACATTTATACACGGACAACAAACCACAGAAATGTTAAACTATCAACTTACTGAATTCATCACTGCTTCCATCGGAGGGACTGTAATTTGGATCATCCGTATCATCATCAGTTGTGGGGTCATTCTCACCATCTGGAAGGAGAAACAAGAAAGCTTAAACATCCATCCAATGAGACTTCAAACAACCAAGTAACATAACACCAATAAAACTCGCCTGAATCATCCTCGTTGTCAGAGCCTCTTAGACGCTTATTGGTTCGAATGGAGTTGGACAAGTTCAATTCAGCCTCGTTTGGCTGCACAAACTTCAACGAGGATGGCATGTCTCCCTCTTGAACTACATCTGGTCCTTCCAAAATAGCTATTTGTGCTTTCAGTTGACCGGTAAGTTCCATTTTAGTGTCGTTATCCTGATCTTTCGAGTTACTCCACCGTTGCAGTGCCGGAAAAACGGTTCCCATCCTCAGCACAGCGCGTATGTACTTTTCCCGTGTATCTTTCGAGTTCTCATTTGCTGGGGGTGCATACACACTATCTGCAATGCAAAAACAAGAAAACTTAAGCGTCTATCCAATGAAATGTTAATATCAAAATCCATTACATACATCATACATGGGCAAAACACCACTGAAATGTTAAATTACCAGATTTCGCATCGTCACTGTTGGAGCGATTGTAATATGCATCAGTAGAATCCTCATTAGTTGGGTGGTCATTCTCGCCATCTGCAAGGATGAGGTTTTAAACAACCAATTAGATACAAAAACATGAACCATCGAAGTCCCACTGAGACTTTCTCCACTCACTTTTTTCAGCATCTAGTGTCTCTGAAGGCTTAGAGGACTCCAGGCCTCCAACAAGCTTTTCTTGTGCAACTGGATCTCCTTTCTCTGATTCTTTCGACTGTTTCGGATGGGGAATCTGCTCCTCAGTCTGAGGGATGACACCTTTAGAACTTGAACGTGGATCCCTGAAGAAAATGACATAGATACACCCATATTTTAGATTGAGGAAGACGAAAATGTTAGATTGCAGATCTGTAATCTGTGACTGGACAAAACCTTCATGGACAGAAAGAAACCAACACCCAAGCTGAACCACCACGCATAGAAGCCCACACATAGATTCCAAAACTAGCACAGGGTAAGCTTTCTCGATAATGGTTATAGTGCAATGAAATACCGAGAAAATGGAAATAGAGTCTAAATGCAAGATTTCGCTTTGACTATCCATAAGCAATGAAGCCCAACAACCACAAAGAAAAGGAAGAAAGGAAGGAACGCAGGAAGAGAAGCGAAAAAGACAGAAATCCAGATATCAAAATCTCCTCTCGGTGGGAAAAAGGAGCCATATTTGCTTCCACCAAGGGAAAATCCAAATCAGAAAGAGGCGAAGAGCCCTCAAGAAGCTCTGGTCACCAGCTTCCAAAGAAACTTGGCTACATTCAACCATTAATCCCCATACACCTTGAGACTGTTATGTACAGAACAGGGGAAACTTAGGGTTCTTGCATTCTTTAACGTAACAGCCGAACAAATCACCCAATGCTGAACCACCACTCCCAATCGAACCACAGATTCCAAGACTAGAAACGCTAAACTTAGGGTTCTTGATTTCCTCATCATAACATTGGAACGAACAAGCTTCAATAGCTTGCAGCAGATTCCATAACGACCAAAATACTGAAATTCACTGAATGGAATGTTCAAGACACAGATAATCAATGGAGAAAGGTGAAGATTAGTTACATGATGAAGAAGAAGAATCAAGAGCTCTCGGCCGTTGGGGAGAGTGAAGCGAGAGCAGAATTTGCCGCGAAGACAGACACCGTCGGCCAGTAGCGTGAGCAGACTTTCAGGGCACGTAAGAGGTTTACTCTATGGAGATTGGAGAAAGGGGACAGTTCGTTAGATGATTTCGGAAGAAGAATCAAGACTCTCGGCCGTCGGGGAGAGTGAAGCGAGGGCAGAATTTGGCGCGAAGACCGACACCGTCGGCCAGGAGCAGGAGCGGGAGCGGGAGCGGGGGAAGACTTTCAGGGCACGTCAGAGGTTTATTCAGGGCTTAACAAACACCCTTTGAAATATTTTTGACCTTCACGGTACAGTAGTGTTACTAACTTACTATTCTGATTTATATGTTAGTACTAGTAGACCATTACACTGCATGTTCGTGACTTCTAAGTTCTAACAGGGTTCTACAAGTCACGGTACCATAGTGATAAAAGTTATATAAAAGGAAGTCCATTTCATTATTTATGAATTATTATTATTATTATTATTATTATTATTATTATTATTATTATTATTATTATTATCATCATCATCATCATCATCTTTTTAAAAAACAAACTACATGTTACTATTTGGTAGAGTCACATCACCAAGAATTTTTTATTGTTAAACTTTTTATTATTTAATCAAATGTTTTAATTATCTCCTTTTAACTCAAATTCATGTGTATTCAACATAATCGATCCGATCCGATGTTGCCGAATTATGGGTCCGAAATGAAGTTTCCCGCTTTTGTAATTAACACATTGGGTCGGGTATGGCTTTTGTTAAAAACAGTGTTAACCTAATTCGACAGGTCACGTTGTTGCCAATGTTTGGTAGATAATGAATTTTACCCGGTTTTGTAATTAACGCATTGGGCCGGTGTAGATGTTGTTAAAAATAGTGTTCAGCCTGATTCGACCCATCCAATTGTTGCCGAATTTTGGGTTGGAACGAATTTTACCCGCTTTTGTTCCACTTATCAAGCCGGTCAATGCGAGTTTAATCCAATGTTGACGAATTTTGAATCGGGGATGAGTTTTATCAGCTTTTGTAATTGACGGGTTGGGTCGGAGACGAGTTTTACCCGAGTTATGTCCTTTTATAACAATTAACCCAAAACCATGTGTATTCAACGCTCAATTCGAGTTAAACCCTTGACGAATTTTGGGTCCTTAACAAATTTTACTTGCTTTTGAAATTAATTCTTTTTATGAAAAGTGAACAAAAATTGAACCCATAACAATGAGTGTTCGACCTAATTCGATTCGGTTAAGACGAGTTGAACATGATGTTGATGAACTTTGGGTTGAGAACAATTAAACCCAAATTCATGTGTGGTCAACCTAATACGACCCAGTCCCGAGTTTCGGGTTGGGAATGAATTTACCTGTCTTTGTAATTAACAAATTGAGTCGGGTGTGAATTTTTTACAAAATTGTATTCAACCTAATTCGACCCAATCCCGGTGTTGCTGGATTTTAGGTTGGGTACAAAAGCCACCCGCTTTAAAATTGGGTCGGGTGTCGAATTTGAAGAATTGGGTCGGGTGTGGATTTTGTTAAGAACTCGCGCCGCTTTATCAAG